AGAACATTAAAAAAAGTGAACAAAGAACACAAGTGAGAAAAAAAGTGATTATTTAGAAGGGAAAAATATTGTTGCAAACTTTGTGTTCAAAGAAGAAATAAATACAACAAAAAGATTCTCTCGACACACTCGTTAGGTACACCCATTAGAAAATGAACAGGCTATTGAGGGAAAAAGATTTATTACTCCTGTCACATAAAGCAAGACTCAGCCAAACTCTAGCAAAACACATTGCCTGGAAAAAATCTCTGGTATGTTGCATGACCCAGCAAAAAGACACTTATCAYACAGGTAAGGATAACATCCAAGTATAATCTGAATTACAGCAACCAAGAAGTCCTTCCCGTAAGAGCCTCCACTARACCACAGCCTGTGCAAAATAACCCAGTGGTGCACAATGCACTAACACGTGCACTGCAGCAACATACTTATGAGAATCTTAAATCTTACAGTAACTTGAAAAATCATTTTTACAACTCTTTATTGGCACAATAAACTAGTGTTTAGCAAATAACTTTGCAAAGCAGCCTTTAAAAGGGCAATRAGGAGGTCAGGCTGTTCTCTATAATTTTGTTTGTTCTTAATTACTTCCTTAAAATAGAAAGCCACAAGAAGACTGGATGAACTTACTGAAAGAGTTCCATCACAGGAATAAAAACAGATTAAATTTTGCACCATTTACTATGGCAAATATTCTTAGACTAGTTAGGCAGCAAGACTGATTTCCTTCTTTAAGGCCCAAAAAGAGTAAGAATCTAACAAACAAAAAAGAGAAGCAAAAAATGAAAAACTAAGCTTCAAATGAGACAAAAGAAATGATCTTCAGGATCAAGGAAACCAAAGTGGTGGCAGTAGAACCCAGAGCTATAATCCACTCACATAAAACCAGTGAAAATCAGACAGAAGATGAAAATACTAGAGTTCAAGAGGCTGCAGAGAACAGTAGCATTGCAAGGGCAACACATTGTTTAATCACTGTGAAATTCCAGATGACAGCACTCAAGGTCAGAGAGGGAAGGAGGCATCAGTGCCTGAAAAAGAAAATGTGAAGAGCACAAGCAAAAAAAAAAAAAAAAAAGTCAGATTCCCTAGCAAGCAGCAATGAAAGCTTGAGTGAATAAGGAAAGCCAAACCCAAGATATTCCAGGGTTTTCTGGAACAAAACTGTAATTTGATTCTAAATGGCATATTTTAATTAAAATATTATTGCAGCTTGTAATTCTGCTTATCCTGACAATTTCTGCTGATATCTGCCTTGATATTTTATCAACTAAGACTGAAACATCTGTGAGAGTTACGGAACCTCACCTCAAAATACACAGATACTTCCTCAGAAAGAATCCTGAACCTCTCTAAGCAGATACTGCTGTTCAGTTAGCAATWAAGGATACCTCTGCATACTACATAAAGCTTTTGTGCTAGGGACACAGATTCGACCTCCCACAGGGWATTACAGACAGTCTTCCTGAAATTAAAACTCCAATTAGGAACTCTGAAAAACTCTAATATAGAGAAAAGCACAGAGTTTAATGCAACAATATTGAGTAGTGGATGAACAAATAAAAACCATACAGCTGTCTGAGATTTTAATTGACAGCCTAGCAAAACAAGGCTCAAATTTTCTAAGTATTCCCATCATGAAAACAAACAAAAATATTATTTCCCTTATGGAAGAAAATAAAGTAAAAGTACTTCTCTGAAAGCATCACTTGAAAATATCTGAAGTGTGATGGAAGACCATTAGTATGACAAACTAATTTATCTTGAACACTAACATAATATTTTCTCCAGTATAAAATTGTGGGTCTCTCCAAGGTCCCTGGCTGGAGCTGAGTAACTGTTCAGCGTAACATTCCAGCAGCTCTGAAAACATGCAAAATTAAGGTGAACATGACATCTAAAAAAACTTCTTTCAACATCCAACAAGCCACTGTGAACTCCCAACATGTTTGCTCCTACTGAAATTAACCATTATTTTACACTACAGGGAGTTGCCTTGCCTGTAAGTACACTTTCTCCTTTTTCAAAAAGCTGTGAACTTTCTGKTTTTTTGGAAAACAAGATTGCACTGTGCAATTACACTTCCCTAAAGCTGCACACCAAGAGCTTCCAACACATTGGGATTGCCATTGGGTGCTTGCACAGTGGCAGCGGTTATGATTGTTGATATGCAAAGACCTAATCTGTTGCAAAGAGGATGCAACACAAACCACAAAGGAACTAYACACTTCAGCCTGTGTTTGGTACCACATACTGAAGCCCATACACTGGAGATYCTAAGCACTCTCACCCAATCTTTCTATTCTGGCAGATTTCGCAACTTTCCTTTGCAGAAATATTCTGCCTTTGAAAGATAACTTATCTRGTAACAGCCAACAACAAAATATCGAAAATTCTCCATTTGCACACTATGGCACTCTCCCCCAATCATTAAAGATCTAAACACAAAATTATTAAAGCTTTCTTGAATCTGCTCACATCACTATTTATTCCACATGCTGTGAGACTTAATGATTCACAGCATTTTCAAACGTGTAACACTGAAATGCGGAGGATTATTATTACTTTAATTCACTGTTATTATTAGATACGTCTGACAAAGAYATGCTTGTTTACAGCATTTTCAGTTGTCTTTGTTAAAATATATAACATGGTTAAAATGTGTGGTTTGGACTTTAGGAAGGTGGAGAGAGCAGTAGAATTGTAGTTTTTCTGTTTAATTGCATGTGCAATATAAAAGATATAAGAACACTGGACAAAAACGCGCCCAGATTCCTCGATACTGGAATTTAATGCATACTTCATAATCATAYTTCTAGGTACTTTAACTCAACTACAGTCATTTAATATATGAATATAGTCTTTATGCACTTGCACACGGGCATTTTAATCKCTCCATTTTCCTTTATGAATCAGGAACAACTTTAGTCTCTACTTGAAATAAGCCTTAAATCTCTCAGACTGTACAAACATGGCCCTGTGTAAGATAAGACAGTCCCACAGAACATGACACCACTCTATAAAGCATGTCATCCAAGTGCAGGCTCTTTTGACTGCATTTTGATCATCGTCATCAAACAAGATTCAAGTGGAATCTACTACACATTGCAGAACAACACATCAAGACTCAACAGGCTGAGTTATCTACATTAGAACAAATTTTATTTTAAAAGTTCTACCTGGGAGGACAGTTGGCTCTATATGATACAGCCATTACTTACAAGATTTCTGAACAAATGCAAAGCCACTTCTTTTCTCTTAAAATAATTGCTGGCTAGACTTAAATACTCCAATTTTATTTTGTGAGAAAGRACAATTAATGAGCCTCTTAGGCCATGATTTCATATATTTAGAAAAGTCAAAATAGCCATAGTAGGCTGATAGTGAGCCTGGCTACTTTCTTGAACACGAATAAACTTCCAGGTCAATCTCTGGGAAAGGCAACTTTCCTCACAGGTGTTAAATGGAAGCTTTAAGGTACTTCCAGATTATAAGAAGTGTGGCCATGTTGATTTCATCTCAAGAAGCGTAAGGGCTTCCAGTGCATGACATAATGTAAAAAAAAAAGCAAAAACATACTGCAGAAGGAATACAATTACATTCTTAACATTTAACTTTTTTTTTGAGAACTACAGCATGAGTATGATACAGTCTCAATGGATACTACCAAAGCAGTGTTTTAAATGCTTACCATTTCTCTTCACATCAAGTATCTGCTCCTCCAGATAGCATATTTTCACAGACTGACAGGATAGCTAAGGCTGGACAGCACCACTGGAGAATGTCTAGTCTAATTCTTCAGTCCAGAGCAGGGCAAACAGAGAAGATTGCTAAGATTGCACATTCAGTCGGGTTCCGAACATGTCCAAGGATGGAGATAATACACACTACACAAGCTCTCAGCACAGTATGTTCCACTCTTAGACCACCCTTGCAAAACAATTATTGTTTTGAATAGAATTTTCTACATTTCAATTTGTGACCTTTTCCCTTCAGTGACTGCCCCTGAGAAGAGCCAGGCTGCCTCATTTATCCCCATCAGGTATTTATAAACATTGGTAAAATTTGCCCTGAGCCTTCTCTTCTTGAGAAGCCCCACCTATTTTGGCCTCTGTCCATACAACAGATCCTCCAGTTCTTGGTCATCTTTGTGATTTTTTCCTGTACTCATTCCAGTATATCCATATTGCTCTGGTAACAGATAGACCAGAACTGGACATAGTACTCTAGGTGTGGCTTTACCAAAGCTACCCCAAATTTGTAATTGCCAAGTTTTGAATTTTACTTTATCTGATATTCTTAATCCTCTCTCATATTTCAGTCAATAGAGATAAAAAACAACACAACCATTTTTCAGCAGCTCAGGTGTTCAGAAAACATTATCTTCTAAAATATACAACAGCAAATTTTATTCTAATCCTTTGAAACAAAACATAAACTAACACAAACAGAATACTCATTAACAGTGGGCAAATAAACTAGCTATCTACAGGTCCTCTAAGCATAAAGAACATTTAACAATACCACTAAATCAGAAAAACCAAATTCACATTTCTCTAATCTGGTYAATTATACCAGTCATTATTTAAAGATACCTAATAAAATAGCAGACAGACATCTTTTATTAGAGCTTAATAAAGAATTATTCTTAAAAGCGAGAGAGAAGAACAACACAAATCACATACAACTTATAAATGCATCTAAAACTGGTCATGAGATTGTCTTAGTCATAGTATTTTATTAGAAATACCAAGGGAGTAGGTTGTGACTTCTGGACTTTGGAACTCATTTTTCAAAACTGTAGTATCACAGAAGGCTGTAAACWTATCTTAAATATTACATATTGATAGTTGCATATTCTTGGAACTGAAGCTTTAAGAGAAAGCAACCAACACTGGTTTCTCAAACCTCACAAAGTTAGATAGACACACTGCAAAATTAGCGAGACACCGAACACTGAAAAGAAAGCCAAGATGCAATTGCAAGATTTTTGAACTTACATTTGAGTGTTTCTCCCGCATACGGGATATGTAGTTTAAACCGATCACAGCTGGGTCCAGGGGTCAAGGATGTACAGCTAAAAACGAAGATAAGAGAAAAATGAGCTAAGCAGTTACAGATGGCAGCAAACACTAACATCATTCTACAGGATACAAATGATTAATAGTAAAGATATTGTGACTACTAGACATACTCATCCTTATGATTCTGAAAAAGAAGAAAAGGTAGGAAAGGAAGGAGGCCAACTCCCGTTTGATCAACTGTTCTCACAATGGCTTAAGAAATTTTAGGATTTGTGCCAACTGCCTCCCATTTTATAAAGAAAACGTACATGCAAAATGCTCTGGTTGAGTGTGTTATTACACTGGTATCAATTAGTCRTTCAAAGTCATCAAGTTCTCTATTTTATATACAATTTTGCAGGTCAGAACSCTAGGTTACAGTAACATTGTTACCTGCTCCCTATCCCTGCCACGCATGCAACTGGGCTCAATCTTAACAATCCTGCATTTATTGATTGTTTACCTATTATAACATGAATGTTTTCCATTATGGAAAAGTCTCACAGTAGCCTTCATACGAGCAAGTTTCAGAATCAGCTGTCTGACGCTATAACAACTGAGCAATTATGTCCTCAGTCTGTGACTCTGGTTCATTTGGAGCACCGAAACAGCAGCCCGGCCTCATGATGATAAATGAACATTCCATGAATAGTCACTGGAAAACTGTTTAGTGCTCAAGCCAGAGGTGATCAACTTTGTCACAGCTTTTAAGTCATAGACCAAAATTKGCAAATAAAATAATCTCAAAATCTCAGCTGCAAAAGGAGGAACACGGACACACATTGTTTCACTGGAAGGAACGGTCTCTCTTCTGGGCATGTAATAAGCCCAGCTGGGCATATAACAAGCCCCAGGAGCAAAAATGCTGGAAACCCTTAGAAGTTCACTGCTTTAYGTTTCTAGGGATCTTGATAACCCTGAGATCTTCTCACCAGCCTAATATAATTGAGAATTGGTATAAACCCAGCACAGTTGTTGCAGGCCACTTAAAACTCAAAGCCTTACTGGCCAACTCTAGAAAAAACAGTGAGTAATAAGGTAGACAAAAGTAAAATAACATGCCTAAACTTATATATCAGATTACTGGTAGAGCTCTAAYACACACCACTGACAACATATTGAAACAAACCCCACATTTACTGGGCCATACACACAACCAAACACAGGAAGATGGGTAGGCCAGAAAATATAAAACAAATTCAGATCCTACTTTACCAGAAACAACATGGTAACTCCTGCAGCTCTCTATATGTCACAGTGCAAAATAGGCATCAGGGCAAATGGAACAATCTTAATTCTTACATACTCAAAAGGGTTCAGAGAGCCATTTCTCTCACATGCTGGCTCTACAACCTCCTTTCCTCTTTCCACTTGCAAGTTATGGAAACCATATGCATTAACTTYAGACTTYCTATTCAGTGAGCTACATTTACTACTACATTACAGTCATATTGTGCCTGCATGAAGCTTCCTCAAAAGGAAGCAACAGGAAACTACAGATCAATTAACTTTAATGAAGTTTCCACAAAAATGCTAGAAAACATAAACAAACCACTTATGTGCACCTAGAATCTAAGACAGATACAATTAAGAGCCATATACAGTTACCAGCCTACACTGATTCAGCAAGAACACACCGTATTTTTTCAGAATCACTACAGAAATTATAGCTGTCCTTTCAAATCAAAAGGAAGAAACACGTCCTATCTTTGGCTTAGAAAGGCTTTTGCAACATCTTGTGAGAGCACCATGCAACACAATCTAGAAAGACATAATTTAGATATAACTACTATCAGACATGYGCAGACTTGAATGGAAAGCAAGTTTCAAAAAAAGATTAATTCACATCTTGCTTCATCCAGGAAGAATGCCTTGACTTGGTTTTCTTCTGCTGGAATAATACTTCACATTTTATTGAAAAACCGATGATAGAAATTATTTTTTGTGAAACCTGGTGATTAAGCAAATGTGAAGGGGAACACAGCATGCCAAACAGCACCAAAGCTGAAATATGTTTTTATTCAATGGTTGTACTACTTATTTTTACATTATTTTGTCTACATAGGGCTTATCAAAAAAAGTGAGCATCACCAGCCTCATTGGGATTAAACTMAATTTAAGAATACGAAAGATTGGATCCCTAGTGCAACAGAAACAAGAGAATATATTTTTTTTTCAAAGCTGCACTTTTTTAGTAGATGAGAACAGCAAAATGGGAGTGCCCACTGTTAGAGTGTTTTAATGGCTGTGAATGAAGTTAATTGCTATATAGATATTATTATCTACTTCCAAATAATTTCTACGTCTTACAATACATATAAGGCCAATTCCAGGGACCATACAAAAAAAAGTGGAACATAAAAAGTTCTTTTCAAGTTCTAAAATATCTCTGCAACATCATTTAATATTTAATGAAAATTTCTTTCAAAGTATCACAGGTCTCAGTCTGAGACATTTCTCAAATACCATCAAAATTATACTGTTGTTAGCTTTTCAACAGACACAAAAATTTCTGATCTTGCAAATACCCTACTTCTTTTCTTTTAGCACAATGGGCCATTTGGAAATACTTAGGGAAAGTACAATATTCTTTAACATTAAMATATAAGCCTTATTTAACAGTAAATGCCTCTAAAAGCAATACTAAGTACTTTTCCTGTATTRTTGTACTGCAGTAGAGATGTTTTTAATTTTACTGGTCTAGAAATGATAGAAAGTGACAGTATTAACATTTTTTTCCCCCAAATTGCTCTGGCTGAGCTGCACAAGAGACTTCAATAACTGCAATAGGCTGAGCAATCAAGCAGAAATGTTATATACATCCATTTGAAAGGAGGCAGTTTCTTTTTAGTGTAAACGGCAAAAGAACAAAACTCCTAAGGCAAATCCAAACTTTGGTACATGTAGGAGTCTGTGTGACCTTATTTCAGCAGAAAGCCCCAAGCAATGGCCTGGCTATGGACATTATCTCCTGCTTGAATTTCCTTAACACACAGAACCTCTTACAATTCTGACCCTGAAACATGACCTCTATCTTCTCCAAAATGTAAGGTTTTTGGAAATATGATCCTTTTCCTTATTGTGGTCCACACAGAAATCCCACTTGAAAAGAAATTACATGTAACAAAGTCTTTCAAAGATTATTTGTTATACTTTCTCAACAGGGAATTGACAGACAGAACAATAATACCTGGTGTTGAAAATTAATTTCATAAGCTGACTCTATCTTATGATATATAGGTCTGCTATCTTCCTCTTGATTCATGGAAAAACATTACACTGGTTTGCATATCTTCATCTAAATAATCCATATTTTACAAAAGAAAGCCACTGATGCAGGAATTAATGCTCTGATGATCAGAGCAGTGATATATCTTAGTCTTTGTAAGATGATTAATGCTACACCACAAGATCTCCCACAATGGTTTCCCTACTAAAATATCAAAGAATCATCAACTTGACACATTTCTGGGACAAAAATTGTATTGCTTAAAATCATGTTGCCCTATTCAAAGGGGCTGTGCTGAGGCTTATGGTTGGAAGATGGTACACGGAACTGAGTATGTAGCAACCACAGCTGAATACAGAATGTTCCCTTTTGCAGCAGATTTTAGTTAAGTTCCTTGAGCAAATACAGCAGATTAAACTTGTGTTGAGATACAACCTTATGAAATARGTATTTCAAGCAGGACACGAGTAAAACATTCCTTTGTTGAGGTTTTGATGCATCTTACAGATTGTCTGTGAGTATTGGGAAAAGGTTTCTTTCACAGTAAATAAAACACACATAAATGAAACTAGTTCTTATTGAAAGAAAAAGTCACTGTCAGCTTCAACACTTAGTTTTAAGCATCGATAATTCTTTACCAGTCACAAAAGGAAATAAAAAAGATTATCCAAACAAACAACAACAATAATAACAACAAAGCAATCCAAGAAAGTCAGTTTTGYTGCTTGAAATAAGGCCTCAGTCTATAGTGAGAAGTATAATACAATGCAGTTTTCTGCAAAATTGATCCTTCTTCCCAGAGTATTTTAAAAGCCTTTAGGAACGCAGTTCCACTTGAGTTTAACAGCAAGACTTCCTCTTATACCATCGTATTTGTGACTGACTACTTTGTTGAATTGACACTCCGATTTTAAGCTAAAAAAACAAACCATTTTTAGATATTACAGGATTGAAGCCACGATGATRTCAAGGACTTATGATAACCCTAGATTTCAATGCCATCTTCCCATCAACTAGTTTTCTAAAACCATCACTTGAAAGCATTGCCAACAGAAAGTGTTTTAAATTATTTGGGCTCTGATAAATCTTATCAWAAATCACGTTCTGTGACAGCTGAAGGGATCACAATGAAACAAAAGCACAAGCATTTATTACCTTATTCTTCAGGAGACAGATAATCAGGAAATAGATGGTTATACTATGAAAGACTTTAAAAAAACCCCACAAGAACCCAAAGCCCTCAAAATCCACCTCTTTATATCCCAAAATTTCAGTCAGAAGCTTGTTTTATATGCCACTCCTAGAATTTCCTGCTTAGAACCWCATAGAACCATAGCAAACATTCAGAATTGCCAACAGAAGCATAAGAGCTCTACAAGAACATGAGAAATCTCCTCTTTATTTCTTTTTTTTGAATGTGTAGTATAGGCGTAAGCCCCAATAGTCACATTATATTTATCTGATGACCATCAAATTTGCTGATTAAAAGTATGCAATGCTTTTAGTCATTCTTCCTTCATGGATCACACAGAAGTTCTACTGCCTTTACTATCTGAAAACAAATCATCTGTGATTTTACTGTACAATGGTAAAGCCAAATTAGACTAAGAATGTTAGCCTCTAAAATCTCAGGAATTTAGTATTGCCACTGCCTAACCTGAACAGTCAGAGATGCAAAAGCTTCTTTAATCTCATGATGCTTAGGCTGCTGCACTCACTGTTCTTGAGGAWCAGTACTTCTTTGGAAAACAGACAACTGCTTTTTGTTCACCAGACTGTTGGTGT